ACCAAGAGGCTTAGGAGCCTACCGCAGAGAAGCCAGAAGGTAAGAAAGAGGAGCTAAATTATAAACTAACCCGTTTAGAGAGAGACAGAGAGGGATGTAATAGGAAAGCGATCCGAGAAGGGGAACAGCACTCTGGGGCCCCACAATGCACCCCCCGCCACCCTCTCCCCCCCTCCCCATCCTCTTATAGGGCCCCACCTACGATTACACTTTATGTCACCGGCCAAATAGCAAATGCTTCCTACCTCCTTCCGACTATTATTGTAAATATATTGTATTCCTAAATTCCCTTTCTTTATTGTTTTTAAAATATCTTCTCGTATTTATTTGCTTTGTTTTGTCTGCCTTTTGGCCTCCTAGGTGATTTTTATTAACAACTGTACGACCCATAGCTTAAACCTCGGTTAAACCAAACCATTTTTTATCTTTTATCTACAATTTTACCAAAAAGCATTTACTTCATAAAAAACAATTGTTTATTCCTTAATATTAAATCAATTAATATTAAGTTTAATTTTTCGCGATATGTGATTGCGCTTATGAACCTTGTAGTTACAACCGTCCACTATAAAACAGACAGTAGTTTTGGATGAATTCAAGAACACTTTTATATGAAGATTATATGTATTTTGTTTATTTTATTTTGGATGATAAATATTTATGACGCAGTCTTAAAAATTGACCAATGATAAGCATTGGTCAGTACTTGAAAGCCTTCAGTGCTCGAACCACATGTTTGGGTTGAAACGTTGGCACAAATTTTTATATATTTGTTTATTTAGAAATATTACATTCTGTCACATCAAGGACATTTATTATAGTGATCAGAGAAAGCACACTCACACTCTATTTACAATAAAAAAATAAATAAATAATACAGAAACTTAATAATAATAAATACAATAAAATAAAATAAAAATAAATACAATAAAATAAAATAAATGTATATAAACAAAAGAACTAACCTAATCATACACACACGGGCTTGAGTGGAGGATCTGGCCATTGTCAAAACTCCAATAGATGCTTATTTACAAAAGGTCTCTGGGCCACTGCCGCTTCAACCTTCGAGGAGGATTGTAAGGATGGGTGGTGCTGGATAGAGATTGTGCAAGGGGATTTGGATGATAGGTAAGGTTTTGGTGAAATTTGGAGAATTTTTCTGGAATAAGGTCTAGGACAAATGGGATATTAAGGTTATGGTGTAGGATTTTGTTATTTACATAGAACGGAGCATCAACTATTGTTCGAAGGACTTTAGATTGAAAGGATTGAATACGTTTGATGTTAGAAGCTTTTGCTGTCCCCCACAGTTCAAGTCCGTATGTCCATATAGGTTTCAGTATTGTCTTGTAGATAAGTAATTTGTTTTCAATAGAAAGTTTGGATTTTCTGTTTAGTAGTCTGTATAGCTGGCCGTATCGTCGGTTGAGTTCTTGTCTTTTGAGTCTAGTATGTGGGTTCCACGTTAGTCTTCGGTCTAAATGAAAGCCAAGATACCGGACTGTGTCTGAGTAAGGAAGCTGGATGGAATTAAAGTGTACTGGTGGACAGGAACTGCTTCGGAGTGTAAAGGTAATATGTTGGCATTTAGATTCATTAACTTTAATGCGCCAGTTATTACACCAGTGCTCAATCAAGGTGAGGTGGTTTTGGAGATGTAAGGATGCTATGTTGGGATCAGAGTTGGATGATAAGATTGCGGTGTCGTCAGCGAATGTTGCAAGAAAAGTATCGGGATGAACAGGGATGTCAGCAGTAAAGAGGATGTAAAGCACGGGACCCAAGACGCTGCCTTGGGGAACACCGGCTTTAACGGAGTAGATATTGGAAAATTCTGTTCCACAGCGAACTCGGAAGGAGCGGTCAGAGAGGTAGGATCGGAGGACTAGGTACAAGGACTGAGGTAAATGGATTTTAAGCTTGAAGAGCAGTCCGGAGTGCCATACCCGGTCAAATGCCTGTGCAATGTCCAGAAATGCACCCGAACAGTATTCCTTGTTTTCTAGGGCTGAATTGAGTTGGCACAAATAAAAAATTATTTTATTTTTTTAAAAGACTGCGTCCTGAATATTTATGATGCATCATATGTAGAACAGTCGACTAGCTTCCTTCAACAATTTATTTTATTTTATTTGCCAAAGATATGTACAAATAAATACATAGATATTATGAGCAATATTAAATTTTGAGTCTAGTTCTGTGTTCAAACATAATATTAACAAAATTCCTAGCCTTCAATATGACTTATAGCGAATTACCAACAATAAATATAAATATATAATTAGTAAAACAATATTTTATTAGTAATTGTATATTGTTCATTATAGATATGGATTCATTTGTCATTTCTTTGGCAAATAAAATAATAAATAATAATCATAATTTATTCCTGTTTGTTACTGTTTTTTTATTAACTTTTAATTTATATAAATTTATCGTCATAAATAATTTTTGCAAAGGTTTATCTATTTCTGTATGCTACATCTCCATATATTTCGTCAATTCTCCATCAAATCATCATTTGGGAGATTAAATCATCGTTGGACAGATTAAATCATCATTCTGAATATTATCTTCTCCTTCAGGCTCGAAGAATAAGTACCTTCTTTAGAAACGTTGTGAAGATAAAAATTATATATCCGCATGACTCAAAAATTGTACAATTTATGGTAAATTATACCCATGATAATTAGAAAGGTGTTCCAGTTCTGGTCTTTCTTACAATGATCCACCCTGTGATTTTGAGTTACGGTGATTTTTTATGACATTTATTTAAGCATTAAAATCATATGTTATGTAATCCATGATTATAGTGCCCTACATAAAGGTAATTTCTTATTTTCGAATCATGTTCCTGCAAACAGGTTATTATGCAAATTGCAAATTGGACACACCATATACATCGGAACATTCCTTTCTTCTGATTCATGTTGCTTATTAAACAAATTCACTTTTTTAATACTTCACTTCACTTCAAATACTAATGTTTGGTTAATAACACGTGATCTCTAATGGTTAAATAAAGGATATTAATTTTCACTGGTATTCTAAATACATCACGGGATTGTATACAATACTTAAATGAAACAATTCGTAGCTCCTATAGAAAAAATAAAAACTTTTCTCACATTTTTCGTAATGGATTTCCCATTTCGATCTCCAAGTTACTGACCTAATATTCTTTAAATCAGCTGACATTTTTGAAAGCAGCAGCTCTGAATTGGTAGACAAGGTTCATTTTATTTATATACACTTTCGTAATTTACAACCATCACCTTCGTCTGCAATCAGGTCGATTTTTGGTAAGTATAATAGTCCGCGATGGAATTCAGCTTTAAGATCACGTTTTTTTATTACAAAATAGCACATCTCTACCATTTTTCAGAATTTTTTTAAAAATAAAACTTGTTTGAACATTTTTCTTACTTAGGACTATAAAAAATATGAGAAACATTATCTCCTATTTGTCAATAGTTTCAAAGTTATGTATGAGAAGTGACAGAATTAGAATCAAGCGAATTTCGCTTTACTGGCTCTAAATAGATCAATAAAGCTCGTTTATCATTTTTTTATCGCGTGAACTTCGATGGGTTCTAATACAGGCGTACTTGCTGATCATATTAATACTTATGGAATTCAAAAATGATGGTTTTGACTGAGATGAGGAAAAATATAAAATAAAACTGAAAGTGCAAGGTGGCTGTCTTTATTCCTCTATTTTGGATGGAAGTGGAAATGGGATTTGAGGGGACTTTGCATGATTTGTTCTGCATTCGGTAAGGAACTAATCCCTACATTTACAACCAAGCATTTTCTTGATATTATTATTTCATTACGTTTGAATATTTTCATATTATATCATCATTTGTATTACCACTCGCAAATAGACTTCGCGAATTATTCAAACGTGCCAAATAGTTTCTATGTATTTGGGATTAACTTAAAAATATAAGTATTTTATTTATTAATTTCTCTATTCATTTATTGAAACATATTTGTTATCTGACAAGTAAAGTGCTAAAGACAAAGGAAAATTATCTTTATAATATTGCTAAAATGAATGTAAAAATAGTGTGGGATTTTCCGAATCAACTCTTGCTGTCCGGTTGTATCTGGAGTTCAATCGTGTCCATGTTTTATTTTGTTTTGTTTTTACAGCTCCAATCGTCAGGTAGTCCCTTGGCGATGCTTCAATTTTTAAAGCTTCCTGGACCAAAAGTTTGAAAAAGTTTTATTTTTCATTAGTCTGTCAGAAGTTTGGAATTTTCGGCTTACTTTGGATAATATTCTCGATACTACATTTTATTCATTTACTTTTATCTATTGACCTATATTTGTAATAAAATTGACTGGTTTGTAAAAAGTTATTAGTGGTTAATCAGATACTAGGATTTATAACTTATATCTTTTATAAGTGTTTTTAGGATTGAAATAAAATAGCTGAAAATAGTTTTGCTTCTATAAAATGATAATTAAAAATATAATTAGGAGTGTTTTAATTAAAATATTTTTGGAGGCTTTATGCATTTTTAAACAAAGGCAAATTGTATAACATAGTGCTGAAAATAATTGATATAATTTCAATTAAAATAATTATAAATTATTTATCATTCATATATTTTTATATAAACCTATTGTATATTAAACTACTGGAAAACTTAATGTTGAAACATGTTTTTTGTCGATAAAAAAAATAATCCTTTGTCGATTACCCCTTACCACTCCATTTTTGGCTGATACGGAGGGAAGGAGCATTCGGGTACAACCAGCGGTAAAATTACTTGAGAACGTTAAGTTTTATGCTGTAACACAGTTGCCAATCGCCACCTCAGTCAACTTTGAACTATTGCACTTTTGCTAAACACGGTTTATGAAAGTCTTGTATTATGGTACCTGCTATAACACAAAGCTGTTTAAATTAACTATTAACCGCCTATTTTTTTTTTAATATTAAGGTGGATTATTGACAAAGATTGGAATAATTAACAAAGCATTTTTATAAAAGTACTTTATTTTCACTTTTCTTCTAACTTTTCCAACTTCTTCGCCTTGTTAGGGATGTTGAGTATTCCCATTAAGGCTGCGGGCGTTCCGTTCAGCAGGGCACCGCTTTGTCGTTTGGACAGCTCATCTGGTAGAGGAACTGGATGATCGTCCTGGTGGGTCTACCAGTCATCAGTCCCTGGCGCATGTAAGGACAGCACTCCCCAACATGGACGGTACCTGTCCCGGCGATGTCCGAGTGGACGAAGTCTACGCAAGGAGGTACGAACTCCTGTACATTAGAATAAATTAATGAACTTAATGAAAATATAATTCAGTAGTATTTAGATACATTTGATATGATTTCATTAGTATTTATAAAAACAAATATGTCATATGCTTACCCTAAGAAATGCTGCAGCAGTGCAAGGATCTCCTCCTGGGTAAAGCGCTGTGTTGGTCACATCTACAGATCTGTGATCTGCCGAACATCTGTCGTTAATATTGTTCCTTGTTATATTGAAGTATTTATGATATTATTTTATAAACGATTCTATATTTATATTGTGCTATTTTCAGTTTTGAAAGAGTTAACTTACTTGTCATATGCCGGGAATAAGCCTTCCAGAAGGGAAACCTCCAGACCCTGTCCCCAGTCTCAGCTGCAGCCCGAACAAGCTCCACCCAAACAGAGTTGGAAGTGCTGAAGACACCGGTGGCAGGGTTCCCTAGAGCTATCTTCATCCCTCCTGTTTCAATTGTATATTAAAACAGTATTTTCAGTCAAACTTTTGATAGCGACTAACTTTAATTTATTAAACTTTTCCCAGCAGTGATTTTATCTAGGTCTCCAGAATATGGACAAACGCTACTAACTCAGAAGGAGAGGAAGACAAATAGATTTATGAATCGTTAGCAATAGGTGTTGGCAACAAAATTAAATGATTGCACTACCCAAATCCTTGAGATACGAAATGAGAAGGAGAAATACCTTAAGGGAATGTCAAGGAGAAAAGATAGTGGTTGATTAGACTTGCAATTATTTGAGTCGATGGGTAAATTCTTTTAAACCATTTTAGATGTTTAAGTTCTGAATCTAATATACGGTTATGAGATCTGGACACTAACCAGCATCCCAAAAAAAAGTGTTGAAAGAGTTGATAGAAAAATTCTCCACACGATAACCGGAGCGATCTGGAATCAGAGTACTAACAAATGGAGAAGAAAGACCAATAAGGAACTGCTTACAGAAACTAATCAATCAACATCTCATGGTTTGAAGGCACGTAGATAATTTATTATGGATGGACGGGGCATGTAGTTCGTAGCAATCCATTTGTAAGCCTCTACGTAATAAGAATGCCTCAATAGAAGACGAAAGACTACGTGGAAGGTCTAAACGCAGATGGATAGATAGAATACACAAAGATGCAATAGAGCTGCTTGCTGATAACTGGAAAGAAATAGCCCAGACAGAGCTGCTTGTTAAGGCGGCAAAAGATCTACATAGTCTGTAATGCCAACAGAAAAAAAAAATATGTGTTTAACAATTGTTAAAGATACTTAAGATAGATTTTAAAACTCAGTTGGGAAATATTAGCGTTATACATAATACAATATGTACCTTAAAATTTGATACTCACGGCTGAGTGTTGCGATGTTGAAAACGAGGCAGGGATTGTAGACGGCGGAGAAAGACAGGGCGTCTGCCAGGATGATCCTTCCCTCGTGGTCTGATCTCTCGATGAGCACGGACTTGCCGCAGTGCGACATTATCACGTCTCCTGGCTTCATTGCCATTCCGCCCGGCATGTTCTCGCAAAGAGGAATTATGGCTACGTCGTTTAAGATTTCGATACCAGTCAACAACTATAAAATTTTATATTTCTATTTATAGTAAAAGAAAAATTTTACCGTTGATATTGATGGGGATTCCTAGGGTAGCCAGGCCTTTCACGACCGCTATAACAACAGCAGCGCCTGCCATGTCCGCGCTGCCTATCTCGAACATATGCCCGCATTGGTTGAGACACACTCCTCCACTGTCGAAGGTCACTCCTTTTCCTGTCATTATTGCACAATTTTTAATAGTTTATGTGAATCGACTGGTTATATCCCTACTAATGGATTGTTTTGGTTGATTAATTAGAATTACACGAGAAAAACAATAGAAAAAAAGTCCTTCTGCGATAACAGTATGGATTCACTCTTACCAACTAGTACCACGGGTTTGTCCCCTTCTCCTCCGCCGCAGTATGCGATGTCCAGGAAAAGTGGAGCTTCGCAGGAACCCCGTGCAATGCTCAGGAATCCGTTCAACTTCTTCGACTCTATCCATTCCCTGTCCCTGATATCTACGTGAACCCCACAAGGGCATAAGGCATCCAATGCTGACTGTACATCAATAGACAAATGTTACTTATTAAAGAATTATTAATTAATACTTATTTTACAATCTACAGAACAAGCAGGATTCACTTAAATATTTTATATCAAAAACATAAATAAATACATCATAACTAATTAAAAAATCTAAGGAACATAAACTAAATATATCTGTCTACTTGATTTCACTAAAGCATTCGACCTCTTCGAATCAATTTTTCTTCATCCCCAGTATTTAGTACCATAGGTTTATATAAGTATTGAAAAACCTAAACTGAGAAAATAATGTAATTTATATAAATGCAAAATTATCAAGAACCTAAAATTTGCTAACGATATAGGATTAATTCGTGACTCAGCTCAAGAACTAATGGAGGGGATTATGAAACTTTATAGTCAACGCAAAAATATACAACTGGAGAATAAATTCCTCGAAAACAAAATTGGTCACCAACGGAAGCCACGAAGACATCGTCATACAAGGAGAAAGAGTGGGTAGAAGATGATATCTACCTTAATCAGCTTATCTCTTTTAACAGAATGACCGAGAAAGAAATGGCGATGTTGCATCAGTTGCATAGAAAAATATTGGTCATTACAGTTTATTATGGAAGTAAATTTGCCAGTTCACCTAAAGGTTAAAGTTCTTGAAACATGTGTTATGCCAAGTCTCACCTATGGGGCCCAACATGAACCCTTAAATAGATAGAACAAAAATCACTTCGAATTTCTTAGAGTTAAATGGAGAAGAATTCACTGAATATTTGGTAAAATTATTCAACAAAATAAAAAATGAGAACATGGGGCACAGAACTGGGTATCAAAGACTAACTAAAGTTACAATGGGGTGGGTCGTTCCACGGATGGCTGATGATTGATGGACGAAGCATGTAACGGAATGGTGGTCAATGTATACACAGAAGCCAACTGATGAGATGAAGACAGCATTACTAAGATGCAGGCATATGCTTGATGAGGAAAGCAGACTCAAGAAAGATTGGTAAAAACTGGAGAGAACTTTGCTCAATATGACTCAAGAATTTTCTATATAATTATTATTGATTTTTTCCAATCCATGTCATTTGTATGACGACAAACGTGGTTTATTTTAATTTTAACCCATTCGACAATCTCATTTCATTGCTCCGCAAATGAAATGTATATAAGAATTATAGCTTTATGAAAAGCTTGAAGTCTACACTCATAGTCCGTGGTGGTACACTCATAGTTGTGACACAGGCCAATTTTTATCAAATTATTAACATCAGTTTGTCAATAGCTTTGTCAATAGCTTCATCTCATCACAATCTAGAAATATTTTATTTACGAAAATTTTCGGAATTGGGGCATTTTAAATCTGAAGATCGTCAAATCTCGTCGCTTTAATTTGGCACTAATATCCATTTGCTTTCCACTTGAACTAGAAAAAAGGTGGTCTTCAAAAATATTGAGCCGTTTGGCGTGATGTATAGGACAAACATCCCAATATTTTTGTAGGCCACTTTTTTCTCGATTTTGTAATCAAATCATCTTACGGTCCAAATGGAAAGCAAATGTCTACATGCCAGTTTTTAGTACCCAATTAAATAGACAAAGTTTGCCGACCTCCAGATTGAAAACGCCTCAATTCCAAGAGTTTTCGTAAATAAAATAGTTGCAGGTTAAGATGATATGAAGCTATTTACGAACTTTCAGGCGGATGTTTATTATTTGATAAAATATTCTCTATACCACGGCAATCTGCTTATGAAATGAGGAAATGTTTTACGGTCACCTTAGCGAAATTGGAGGGAGTCATGATATTTGCAGGTGTTTCTTCCAGCTTACGAGCAAGATTCTGTGCTGCTGATTTTTCCATACCGCTGTTCCACCCGTCCCTGTAAGATTGAATTGTAAAATTTTAGACATTTATTCGTAATTTAAAAAAGTAAAAACATTTTTTAAAAAGTATTTAATCAATTTATAATAAATATTGAAACAGAATATTTATATATTGTTGTATTTTTTTTTTCAGCACATCGAATTACTACTTCGATTAATTTGAAAAATATCGGTAAGATATACATCGATATACTTTTTTCTGGATATTTACATCCATAATCTCAACCTCATCAAACAATTCTAATGAGCCGTAAGTTTTGAATTAAAATATTACCTATTCGGTAGTTTTTTAACTACTGCTGTACAGTTGCTTCAGGGAATAAAGCATGTAACAATTATATTTAAAATCTCATTTGTGGCAAATAGGTGATATTAGGCATTACACTTTTTAATGGCTTTCCTAAATTTTTATAATCCGACAGCAATTTCTGAAAAAAGCTTCTTAGTCCAGGGAGTAGCTTTAACAATAAAAGTAGATCAAGGTATTTTTTAAACTTTTCTTTTTCTAAAAAATGTGTTTAGACCATGAAAAATGGACGCCTAAAAAAAAAATAGTTTTTGAGGAAAGGATTAGTTTAGAAATACCTGAATAATACAAAACAGATGTACCAATGAAGAAGAAATTTTAAATAGGAAGTTATATATACAAGAGGTTATATTTTTTTTAATATACAAATTACCTATCAGGATCGTCGTAGAGTTCTAGACACGACTCCTGAGCCCAATTAACTTTATCCTTGAGGTCCTGGTACTGCCACACAGCAAGAGCAGCACCTTCTGCAGCCGCTTCGCTGCATGAGAACCCTTCCACCATTATCACTCCTATGTTCTGTTGACATTATGAAACTATTAGTTGAATCAATTAATTATTATTAATTTTTACTTTCAGTTACCTATATATGTGATTTATAGTAAAGGTAAGTATTGCGTACGCTAAAATTTTCGAATCTGAGTTTTCAACAACCGTCCCGCAAAATGGCCTGTGTGCCTGTGTGTGTAGCTCAAAACGAAAAGTCATACGAAACTGATATTACGTATTTAAGATAGGTATATGCCTGAGATGTGACAGCAACTTTTTCCTTAAAATCGGCTAACTGGAAGTGCCACTTTATATCAACGGTAATACATATTTTTATAATTTTCTCAAAAACGGCTCAAACGATTATGATTAAACTCGGTGTATCATTGTATAATTAAGTGGTCTTTATTATCATCTAGGTCTTATCTCCATTGATGTCACTTTACAGCGCTTAAATGCCCAGTGTTCATATACGTCTTTCTCTAAGGTACCTTTAATATTGTTTATTTTAAATAATTAACTAGCTCTCATTATTAAGAGCTAATAAAAAATGCTACATATAACTTTTGAAAGAATTTGATAACTGAATAAAGGAGTAAACAATAAAAAGGCTTATCCAAGTCTAAAACGAATCTCCGGAAATACTAGTCAGAAGGTATAAGTAAAATATATCATTGTAAGGCGGAGAATTTTAGAAAAAACGATAGCTAATATAGAAATTTTGAAAGGTAACCTATAGTGGTAAAAAAATTATAAATAATATGTTTTGAAAACTAATATTATTTAACGTAAATCACATATTTTCAATGAAATTAAATGAAATTTACTGACTAAATGTAAAGTTTTCAAAAATTTTTAAGTTTAAAAAAAGTATATAAAATCCACCTAATCTAGGTAATGAAATCTTTTAAAAACCTATTTCATTGCACTTGTGTGAAAGAAGATGTGAAATATAAAATCATTTCATAGATGTATAAAGCATATCTTTATAACCTTGAATACATTAATAATTCTAGATCTGATATTATATTTAAATAATTAGGTATCTATCGTCCGTAGGAAAAAATCATCAAATTATTCACTAATTTAATTTTCTAAAACGTTACATTACGATTTTTCGGAATAAACGGAGATACGCTTTTGCATTTAACTCCTCTAATTTTTCCATCGAGCTTAGTTAGGTTTCTCGTATCTAAAAAATTATAGTAATATCTCTATAGTAATAAGCTAATAAGTGACTGCAAGACTGTTGCGAGAATCTTGGGCAAGACAAATACCATGACCAAGACTGAGTTTGCAAGACCAAGACTCGTCTCGGTCTCACATTTGGGCAACACTAAGAACTATTGACGGAGAAAAAGTGGTTACCTCAGAAATACTGAACCCAAAACATATCAACCGATAATACACAGTTTCTCTTTTTGTCTCTCTTTTTCTAAAAAAAAATAATAATAATACTTAGCCTGCCAAAGCGTGTAAATATAAAATTTAATAGTACTAACAAGTTTAAATTGATACCAGACATACTGTAAACTTAAAAATAGTAATAATATATATATTTTTTAATTCTGTTCTTCCCTACCTCGCCATTTAGGCTATACGGGATTTCCCCGGACCGGAAGGTGAGGGCGGGGAATTTAAAATCCCCTCCGGCACCGGGACGCGAACTCGTACTTATTTTTGTCTCTCAAAACTTCTTATATCTGGTTGCCGGGCAACTCGCGGTGCTGTGCACACGCTTTAGACCATTCGGCCACCCCGCCCCTTAGTAATAATATTGTAATAATAACATGAAAAAAAGCTCGACCTCATTTAAAAAAGAAGTAGGATTTGAAGAGATGCCTGCGTTCCTCTTCCAATCCCACTACCGGTATTTTTAATAGGAATTAGCACTTTTCCATTTAATTTGTTTTGAATTAAGTTTCAGGAGACCAATTTCACTTTTCTTTGATTTAAATATGGTTTACAACTCACCTGATCCTGGAGGGCCCTAGCTCCCACACCAGCGGCGATCCTAATGTTCTCTTTGCATTCTTCGAGGCATTCTGCTTCATTATACCCTGCGTCCTCAGGACCCAGACCCGCTACTGCCAAAGCATTGTACTCTGTAGAGAGGTCGGAAATAATTTGGACTCCTCCTTGTCTCAAATTTGATCTATAAATCAATGGAAGTCTATAAATCATTCTTGGTATAATTTATTCTAAACATCTTTTCGCGATAAAATCTACAATGGTAAAATTGAAAAATAAAGATTTTGCTAAACTTGTTTTCGTGGTGTGATCATCACATGCTTTTTTACTATATCAAATCTATTTTATTTGCTATTAATGAGTAGGCCTACCCTTTCAGTACTGAAGTTATCCTGCTGCCACATTCTTGATCAACTTTACCGCCCGTAGCTGTCAGTTTGAACTCGCCGGGAGGAGCACCACATGCGTCGTAGGCTCCTATCACTATGCCTTTCTGGAACCAAAATTTTAATCTAGAAATATAGAGTATATAATTTCATAAAAAGTATAAATTCACTTCGCATGTTTGCCAAAATTTCTCATCATTTTTTTTTTTCAATCATGTTTTTGTCGGCAACAAAATAAACAAATTATTCATAAACTATTCCATACTGATGATACAGTATCTTCAAGGAGTATTAATTCGTATTCAAAAGTTCTAAATAAATATAAATAGTAAATTATGTTAAATTGTGGCGAGTAAACTACTTGTTCTCAAATATAGCGTTGGTATAAGAAAAAAGAACGGATTACGGCGAAATGAAACTATGAAAGTAGTTCAATAGAATAAACAATGGGTATAAATAGGTTGCATTTTATCATCAAAGACCTGTTGGCGAATATGCGGTTCGAAGAAACATTTGAACCATAGATCTGCTATTCAAATAATTTTACGTCGGTTTGATAAGGAAAGCACTGGCTTCCAAATAAGGGTTTCATTGGATGAATAAGACCACACTCAAATGGTTAAAACATAACCTATTTATTCAAATTGGCTATCAGTGCCTGTTATTAATGACCTGTGATGCCCTATCACTGATGATGCAAACTAATCAGAAGTGAAAAAGATATACTCCTATTTTTCAATACATTCAAAGAATCACATGGTTTAGCTAAAGTGTACTCGACTTAAGGAGAAGGATGTTGTCAACTTTGGAAGAATCTAAAATATCCGTAATTTATACAATAATCTGAAACGTGATTGGATGATGATTTTATATGATATTGTATAGCCAAGTCAATCGGATAAACAAGAAAATTGATGTAAAGAATTATTCCTTGGAATTACCTACAGAATTAATGCAAAGGACTCCAAGGACACGATGAAGGGACAAGATGACATGCGGCAGGTGAGCATAAAGGACTCGGTCCTGTGACAGCATATGTTAAAGCAGACCAATGACCACATTAGTCTATTGTTCCTCGATGACCAGGTGGTGACTGATGGTAAATAGAGAGGTCTGTATTTATATAGAATCCTCTAACAATCAGCAAATTCAAGCAATGAAGTTGTAGAAGATGAAAAAGTATGCTTATACTGATTGGATGAGGAAGTTGATGCATTTGGAGAAGGCCTATCAGGGTAGAAACTTTGCCTCTAGCTAAGTTAAACTACAGGAAAGGTACTGCGAAGGGCTTGATGAAGGGAAAAGGTGGGAGAAGATATGTGGCAGGCGGTCATTTGTAAGGACGAGGAAAGAACTGTGCGGCAGCAGATGTTAAAGCAGGCCAAGGACCACAGCGGCCTATAATAACACGAGAAAGAATAGAAGTAAACGGGCTATGTGAACCTTTTTATGTGAGAATTAAAGCATCATATCATTATTTATTAATATATTGTGTTTATATGTACCGAAAAAGTACATGATTATTTCGTTATATAAAAAAAAAAAGACATTAAGATATCTTACAGAGAGAGCGTAAAAGATCTTTAAAAAGGGAATTTCATAGGTTTGGGAGACGAAAGGTGTAGATTAGAAAGGGGCAATCTTTAGTAAACTTTAGGTTGCATCTCTTAAACAAATAATATTCCGGAACTTTTCAAACATTATACTACACTCACAATATTTTGGATGTAATAAGAACTGCTGGAAGTGGGGGACCTGGTAAAAGGATTAATATGACGTTGAAATGATTTTCTTGGAATTAAACGTTCCATATTTTATTTCTATGAATAAACTGTTATTAGTGTACTTGATGGGCTACATTCTATTTATTAAGTGCATAACTATTACATAGTTATTTAGTTGCAATCTAATCTTTTGGTGTTTTGTTGAAAAACTATAATATCACTGTTGTCAATATTGATATCAAAATGTTCAGTGTAAAGAATTTACTATTTAAACATTTAAGCATTAAGGGGGGGGAGGAAAAGAAAAAAAATAATTACTCACCCTTTCTTCTCCTTTGCACAAATCCGCTATCTCTCTTACAATTGTCCTATTGATTATCGGGACCCGGAGGTATTTGGTTCTCATAATCTACTGACCGATAATCCGCAACCATTCGATGTAAGTTTTATCAATTTTTATATTATCTAGCTTAATAAAATAATACATCTATTAATCTACTCATGGAAGTATCATCATAATTCTTCGCTTCTAACTATTCTAACCTAAAAATATTATAACATTAACACATGCTTTTTTATTATTCATATCAAGTTCAATGAAAAAGTATTGGTACTTCTTATTTTTCCGCGCATTATCAGGAATAATTTTAAACCTTTTTAAATTGTGTTTTAAAATAAAAATTATTTTAAAAAAAATAACGGTACACTACGGTCTTGATGGAAAAAGTGATTGATATTAAAATCTTTAAATAAAACGAACTTATTAGTTTCATAGAGTAATATAACATGCTATCTAAAAATCACTGGAATATGTAATTATTTAATACAATTATTCATCGTAAGTGTTATGGTCTATTGTTAGAAGGTTTTTAAAATCCTCATGTTTAGTGAAACTTAGTTCACTCATTATACTAGAACTAATTGGCCCGTGCGAATAATTCGCAGAAAATTTTGTTTAGTGAAGAATTAGTAAAACAATATGGAAATAAATAGATCCTATGAATTATGTAAGGAAGAAATGAATGTTTTTTCCTTGGTCGATTACAATATTCCATTTTGCATTGCATATTTTTAAACGCTGACTGGAAAGATAATAAAAGTATTGAAGACAAAATAATGCCTCGATCATGGGATTTTCTAAATTATTAAAAAACAAAAAATGTAAGAACAAACAAACGCCTTTAAGAAACAATAAAGTTAATATATCAGCCAGAGAAAAAAGTGTAGTATACTATTCTACTCCTAAATGCAATATCTTTAAAGAGGAAGACATTAATAAGTATACCAAAACTAATGGACTGTATCTTTGTTAATAATTGTAATTTAGAAAATAAGAAAAAATATTTTAACATACTTTACTCATTCGTTCTGTACGAATTGTTTAAATTTTTCAAACTTCTAATCGATTTTTACTATTCTTTTTTGTTTCGCAGGTAATTTAATAATCTTTCTAATTATCATGGGTACAATCAAGTAAAAAAATGCATACTTTTTGAGTTATTCGCGAATAAAGTTTCTTTTCCTTCATAACCTTTTTCCCAGAAATTTCGGGAGGATAGGACTATTTTTCGCATGTGAAGCAGAAGAATATCTTCAAAATGAGTGGTCAATCATTGGATTTGATGAAGAATTGACGAAGTTATAGTGTACCGACAAAAAAAAACCTTTTAGAAATAATATATAGGATGAGGAAACTAGAATCTCATTGTCTAAACTTTAATTTTCTTTGAAGGAAAAACCCTTAACTAATAATAACATAATTTGTATTTGAACCGTAGCTTTTGTTCCGATAACAGTTTTTTGTCGAGTACCCACAGTCGATTTCCTTCAGATCCATCTTTACTTTGAATTTCTGCGGTTGGTGTACTAAATAAAGTATTCTGTTTTTGTACTAACTAAAATCGCATTGAATGAAAGTTTTGTTTTGCCTAGGGTTGGATGATGAAGTTAGTCTCATTTCAAGTTCTTGGTTGGAGCATTTTTTTAATCATGTCCACATTCTCACAAGTATTCATGCGATCATTTTGCATCCAAGCAACACAAGATAAGACTATCCTATATTTGCTATGAGCTATAATAGGAGGGCTAGAGAAACATATGGTGAGATAAATCCTCGCCCAGATCCCCTAACAAGAGGAACCTGCTGTATGAAATAATCCCCTCCTTTAATAAAGCCTTATGTGTGGGTGGCAGGCCTGGCTAACAGCCGCTCGTTACCATCCACGCTCCTGCGGGCGCAATTTGGCAGCAATGGCATCTTTACGTTGGTATAGCATTTAGGAGTATTATCGTATATCATATCTCTACTGTTAGTGCAAAAGGTCGAGTGTAAAAATTGAGTTTTTTACAGAAGAACCGATTATTTCTTTATGATTTATTAAGACATATTTTATTTTATTTTCTATTTTCCTATTTAGCAGACTACTTATAGCAGTTAAAGACTACAAAATACCTTTAGCGCGAAGAATAAACATTTAAAATTGTTACATACGACCTTTTGCACTAACAGTAGCGTTTATTTATCAATGGTACAACACTAAAGTTTTTTAGTTTTTTCTACAAAAATGAATATAATGAAAATATAGTTAAAACAGAAAAAAATAATAAAATAAACAAGGTTTCTAAAAAAAAAAACTTGTACCACAACACCCCATGGAGGGTCTTGGGCTTGTAAGGCCGGTTTTATGTATCTGCTAAAGGAGGAAATGTGACCGAGATTACACTCAATCGCCTAGTTTTTCTATTTAATTAATTATTTAATTCAGAGTACCTACATTTATGGAATTTGTCCTAGAATGATCTCTCGATCCCAAAGTCAAACCATGGCTAATATAGCTGAATAAATAATTATTTCCTAATGACGGATTCGAATCCCGGATGTATAGCTAGTTTTGCCTGAAATCGGTCTTGGTCTTTCAAAGTGTAAGACCAAGACCAAGCCCGCCTAACTGTTGCAACACCAAGACCAGGATTGGTAAAAAATAATTTTTAATAAAAATTAAGGCAAAATAGTTAGTAATACATGACAATCTTAGTTATAATAGCATTATCTTCGGGCATTGTTTGGTAAGAATTTTAAGCAAAATAATCTTTCACTAAAAATAAACATGATTCTGGGACGGAGTCCCCTTAGAATAACAATAATGAACATTTACAAAAGAAAAAAAAACTTAATAAAGATTTAAACAGCATATACAATTATTTAAATAATAGTATGTAAAAAAAATATTATTATTATAATGCCGCTATGGTCCTGCTAGAAACCGGACCTCCTCTACTACAGCCAACCAATCTCGACGGTCTTGTGATACTTCCCTCCATCTTCGAACGCCAACCTGTACCACTACAACCCATGAAGAGTCTTGGGTTCAGTACTATTTAGGAAAAGTACTGTTTCAAGACCAACGGTTGTGCACTGATCGGGGCAGGAGATCGGGCCAGGATCACTCTCAACCGCTGGGTGTGCCACAGGAGGGTCTCCCTACCCCAGAGTCGCCCCACGGCCGATGAAATAGAATTTTTCTGCCATGAGCCGGGATTCGAACCTGGGACTTCGAGCATGGGAAGTTCGGTACCCTACCACTGAGCTACCTCACTCCCTAAATAATAGTATGTAAACAACTAAAAAATAAAATAAATTCTTCTCAACTATACTTATAGCAGTACTGCAAAAAAAAATACATACACAGAATGAAAAAGCAAAACCTCCAGAAAAGCAAAAATATCAAAAGTAACTTTTATGGGTAAAAGTAACTTAAATGATTTTTTATATTAAAACATAAACAGTTAAAACATACAATATATATATATATATATATATAGGTTAAAGATATATTAATGACTGAAGATGAGCAGCGGGATCACAATATTGCTTTACGCGTCATAAGATAAATAAAATAAGAATAAGTAGATAAATACAATTGGAAAGGGTGATTAAATTAATTCTATCAGAAAACTATTGCAGCCAAACCATTAAATAAACCAAAAAAACATTAAAGAAAAATAATTATTTATATATGTTATTTAAGAACTTAAAATGAGAACTCGCAATGGTATTGTAAACTATTCTACAAAAACGGAGATTAAGATGGGAAAAGATAAACATATATACAAATTGAGGAATGTAGAAAATGAATACATTTAACATATATAAAATATTACAGATATAAAAAAAAGTTAGATAAAACAACAAACAATTTTTTCGTTATTTTCTTAATCACAGTGCTATGTCAAAAGTGATACTGAATCTTTTCCAATTCATAAATAATAAACAAAAAAAATAATTGTCTATGAAAAGAAAAAAAAACCTAAATAATCCTTGTTACATAATACATAACGTCTGATTCTATTGTGAAGAGGAATTGGAATAAGAGGGTTTTGAATGTGGATAAGGATGGTGCATTGTGTATTATAAGTGGGATGGAATTCCAAAAGGTAATTTTACGCTTGGATACAAATGTAATTATATTTTGAATCGAAAATGCTGTTTCTTGGAAATTTGTTTAAGAAACATTAAATTGGCTTCGGGTTGTTGACATGGCATTATTTAAATAGTGGTTATCCTCCGTATAGCAATGACGAAGACAACAAACAGTAGTGGCCACAGATGCACCATTGTGCGGTCAGATATCTACACTGGTCAATGAGCCTCAACGCCGCACATGTGATCATCCCGTTCACATCTGTGCCCTCCTAGTAGTATCTTATCTTTCAGCATCTCATTGTACTCTACTGGATCAGTTTCTGTCAGGTTGAAATGTAATGGTTAATATGTATGTTGTTTTGTTTTGCGAAACATAAAAAAAAAAAAAAAAAAACAATTTATCAATATCAACAATATCAATTTTTTTTATTTTTTTTTATTGTTTTATTCAGTATTAATACAGTCTGCCACACTGAAGTGCATTGGTACTAAGGCTATAGTATTCATTCACACAATATGTACATAAGAAAGGAAGATAAATATAAATAACCGAAGTAAAAAAAAAAATATATATATATATATATAGAGATAAATAAAAAGATAGAGTAATATACAAGATAAATAAAATAACAGATTAAATCCGAATGATGATAAAATTAATAAAACACATTCACACCTATGTACAATATTAACATTGGCCAAGGGGACTCTGAATCAAGCTTTGTCCCCCAAATGTGGAAGCCAAAGCAGGAGTTCAGGAGATCCCAGTGCTTCTGTCCCATCCGTGCCACTGATTATATTAATTAATAAATAGTCGTAGTTAAATATATGTATTATACGTGACTAGTAACAGATGAATGAAAAAGAATAATACAAAGCAAATGAAACATTAATTAAGGAAAACATATTGTAAGTTTATTGAAATAAGTCATTACGTACATTTTTGATGGAACTGAACTTCAAAAATCATTATATTTTTTTAAATTAAAAATTGTACTTAGGCAATTATATTTATTATATTAAAACAAGAAATAAAAGTTTTTCCAACAATTTATTCTAGTCATTTTGGTTATCACATGGGTACCTTGAGGTGAAAG